CTGCACTGTGAGTAACGTTACCGCACTGAGGGACCAGTATGTTCAGCATCGTGTCAAAATCCTCACATTAATTAAAGAAGTACAGAGTTATAGTAAGTGTGCATAAAGGGCTAACAATGCCTGCAGGAGGGTCTCATGCACATGTGACAGCAGGTTCCTACGACTGATGTTAATGGCTTTGTTCCATATCTGTTTCTCCTTTAAAGGCTATTTCCGCCAATCACTTAGAGAACATCCAAATGATCATCAGCTGGGTCCTCCAGGTCATCAGGGAGCAGGTCTACAGCTGGCTTGTGGCGCAGGGGGGCTGGGTAAGTGATCAGACGTTCATAAAACTACGGTCTTCTGTTTGGACGCCTCGGGTACATCCACAGCTCCTAATATCGATCTGTTGATCTTCAGGAGGGCGTGATCCGTGGTTTCTCTCGATGGAGGACAGCAGCCTTGGTAGCATCAGTAGTGTTGGTGGTAGCCTTTGTTTACTACCGGAAAGTACGATAGAAACATCGGACCTCACAACCAAGACTGCAGTGCCTTCATCTGGATACAGCTTGTTAGGGAATCTGTCGCAGTCACTCCTCAGCCTCCATTAACACGAGGAGGTCAAGTCCTGTACCTAAAGGGACGGATCTTCTCTTCTCTCAGGTTTCAAAGAACAAAAGCGCTTCTGCTGCTGATGTCCAGCGAGCATCTCAGCCTTTCTTCACTAGCAGGTGATCAGTGGCTCCGTGGATCTGACACTGGAGGCTCAGCTGTCAGCCGATGCTGCTGTTGGACCCGATCTTACCTGAACCACACCTGAGGCTCGAGTCAGTTCAGACTGGGTCTGTGCAAAGTTTAGATTCACTGTGGACCCAGAGAGACCTGAGGGAGTTTACAACAACATGATTATCTTAATCAAGCCAACTGAATGTGCCAGTTTCACCGTAGCTGGTGTCTGAAATCTGAATTGTGTTGTGTTCTGTCTCAGTCTTGTCTCTTTAAAGTCTTTTTATAAACTTGTTTATGTTTCTAGTATCAAAGGACGTCAAATCACACTGTAAGAAATTGCAAATGTTCCTTTTATGGAACATTTGCATAAAATTTTAAAGATTTTAAAAACTGGACAAGAATCCTCAAAACGATCACACGTCAGAGTTTTTCACTGAACTGTTTCAACTAATATTTTGAAATTACACAGGGAACATGTGTTGGTTAAATAAGCTTTTATCAAGAAAACAATGTTTTAAAGTGCAATGGTTTGGAATAAATGTAAAACCTATTTAATTAAAACTGTCAAAAGAAATCATAAATATTTAGTGTTTGTTTTTTATGCAAATTTAAATAAAAAAAAATAAGGGCAACAAACGACCTGAAATGTTGTTTACAAACATGTTGTCTTTTCTGGGCCTGAATTCACTAATAATGAAAAACTGTTCTCTAGTTGCACCAAAGAAAAAGTGAAATTGTGGGAAACACAGATGTTACATCCTGCAGGGCACAAAGAGGAGGCGAGACTGTAGCGTGTTTATCATCTCCGTCATGAGTATTTACACACCTGTACAGCACCATTAATGATCACAGATCTACAGCCACTTTAATAGGAACACTTGTTCAACTGAGAGCTAACAGCTAATCATGTGGTAGCAACTGCATGTAGACTTGTTCAAACTGAGCATCACAAAAGAAAGAAAGTATCCGGGTCAATTCTGTGTCAGGGAGACTCAAGGGCTGTGTCCCAATTCAGGGTCTGCAGCCTCAACGATCCTCAAGGGCCGCGTACTCAAAGACCGCTAAGGCCGGAAGTGCGAGGCTTGTGAAATGGGACGGTCTAGCCTC